TACTGAATAGTTGGGTGTAATTTGAAACTGTCCGGATAGCAAAACCATGAAAAATGGGAGTAACTACTGTGCATATAAAGATTTATTATGCATCTATGTTACAGTATGCTTATTTTATCAAAAATAGACCATTATGAAACCTGGCTTTTGCACCTGCTCTTCATTAATTTTTGAAGTTAAATAGCTCTGAGTGGTCTTTTCCACCAAATACCAGAGGGCACTTGGGGGTTATTAGCAACAAATACTTGCTGAATGTAGAGTTTAACATTAATGGTAAAATAATCCATTACTAAAATTGTAGTTTAACTACTGTTAAACACAAAAAAAAAAAAAAAAAACCACAAAAAAAGAACCAAGCCCACCCTCAAAAGCTTTAAGCAATGGAGAACTGTTATATTGCTTTCTACTGGTTTTAGGACAATTAGAACTTGACATAAGTAAAAGTTGAAGTGGTAGTACTGTTGTATTTCTGTTGAATTGGAAAAAAACTAATATCATTTGAGAATAATAGACAAAGACCTCATGATTTAGAAAAGCCCCCCATCATCGTTTATGTATTTTCTTTTTTCAAAAAAAGTTAATGTGATTCTGGAAGTAGTTGAATGTTAGAGTTTTAGTTTCACATGGAGTGTGTGATATTAATCAATCGCACAATTGAATTCCTGTTGGAATTATCCTGGGAGCTTTTTCAGAAGAAAAATCTCAGCAATGTAAGGTATGAAAATATAAGCTTCCCCCTCCCTGTTCATACTGTTATTTAGGGCAGAAGTTTTTATCTTTAGGGATATAGAAGCAAAGCTGGTTTAGGAAAGAAGTGGAGGTCAGTCTGTCATGACTGCAAGAAGGGAAAGAATCAACCTAATTTTTTTTTTTTTTTAGAAGCAAACATTAGTAATTAGTTTCCCAGCAAATAACAAATGTCTTTGCAATTAATTTTGCATGATAGGCCTTTGGTTATCAGCCAAGAAATGTGATCAGTCATAATTTAGTAGTTTTTCAAAATGTCACACACATAAAGTTAAAATATGCTCAGCAATCAAATAAGTAGATATTTGTCAGTGAATCTAGAATCTTAAAAAGCGGAAAGAACTCGAGTATTGCATTGCTAGGGACAGAAAAAAAGAGAGGCCAATAGGAAGAGTTCCAAACTTCAGATATCTCCTTCCTGTTCTTTCTTGGACTGTTCTAAGAGTTATTTTGACCCAAACTTGTGTTGTGGCATGTACTTACATGACATATACTGCTAACTAGAGAAAAAAATTCTTAATGTATCCTAGTGAGCATTTGTTGGGGTTTTTTGACACCAGTTTTTGGATAACAGTTGGATAACTGTTATTTTGGGTAAAATCAGTGTAGATATTTAGAGGACACTAAATGTTTTGATTGTTAAGATGGCCGGACACCTTAGGTACAGATCACAGGGAGCTTGAAATCAGCTGTATGCTACTATTTTCAGTAGTAAAATGTCTTCTAAGTTATTGGTTTGTGGGGTTTTTTTGTTTTGTTTTGTTTTGTTTTTTTTTTTTTTGTGTGAGCTTTCTAAGACTTAAAATGACCTTGTATTATGCAGTTCTAAAACTTACTTAAAGCTTATTTCATAAAGGTTTCTTTATGATGCAAATATAAAGCTGCTGTCAGTGTGTAATAGTAGCAGACTTTGGTGAAGGTTTCTTTATGATGCAAATATAAAGCTGCTGTCAGTGTGTGTAATAGTAGCCTAAACCAAGGTGTTGTGCTGGTTGCTAGCCTCATTTTGAATCCTTTTGGTTGAAATTTTCCAAATATTCTTTAATTCCAAAACTGAAATGGTGGAAAAATATTTTGTGCCCAAGTGAGTTATTTAGAAATGTTTTATTATTGCTCAGTTTCCAAGGAAGAAAATTGAGTTTGGCTGCACTGAGGATGCTTCACTACATAAGGGCTGTGTGAAATTCAACAGGACTTCCCATACATTTGCAATTCAGGGCTGCCTTAGGAGGAGACAAATCTGGGCATAATAATGAAGGTACAGGTTGGCAGAAGAGGGAAGGCTGGTACAAAGGATTTTTTATTTATAATAAACATACTGGATTTTTTTCAACCTGTGCCTGCTGCTTCCCTGGCAGGAAAAAGAGGGGAGATGGCCTGGTGTAAGTGTACAGACAAGGAAATCAGGGGCTTGACCAGCTGCCACAACACAAGACCAGCAGCTTGGAGTCTGGAAGCTGGGATCTGGATGCATGCTGGGATTAGGAGCCATTGACCAGAGTGCAAGACATGATGGGGATGAGAGAATGTATCTGAAGGGGCAGGACCAGGAGAACAAAAAGGCAAATTGGGCAAGGAATTAATATTAAAGAAGATACTTGAGACCAGGTTATAAATGTGGTTGAGAAGCAGAGATGGCTGCTTAGTTTGTAGCCTAAGCCTGTTGCCTTTCAGCCTAGCACTTAAACTGAAGTCCAGGAGTGAGAGGAGAGACAAATAAGGATCTGTTACCTCAACCAGGGCAGAATACATGGAGTTTGGAAGAAGCAGGTAGAGGAGAACATGATCACTGCCCTGCCATTTGGTGCTTGGAACCCAGCCCAGACAGATCATTGCTGCTGCCAGTTCTTCAGCTCGGGTGGCAGATATGTGACACTTAAGATTTATTAGCCCAGGTTTCAGTAAGTTTCCACATCATTTGTTTTTTGCTGGCTATTCTACAAATGACTAAGATGTGTGTAGGCATATGTCTAGGAAAAACTATGAGGAATTTGAGAGCTTCTGAGTCAAGCTCTGAAAATGGGGAGAAAATGTTGTCAAGACCATGCTCTGTCCCGAGATGCAAGATGAGCGTATGACTACATGCTGTAAATCAGATGGAAGGTTAAAACCATCTTGTGAAAAGAGCCCTGTAGAACTGGGTTCTCCCATGCTCCTGTTGCAATGACCTTGTACATTATCCACTGCTAAACTAATAACTAAATAGCTAAAAATTAGTTGGTCAGCTGGGTTCCTCCCTCAAGGATGTGCAGCATGTGGAAGGACTGTGTGTGTATTCCCTGGGATTGCTGTAAGAGCAGTACTTTGAGAAATAGGCTTTTGTCACCAAAGCTTCTGAGATGAGGGAATGCGTCCAACCTTATTTTGAAAGTATGGCTGCACTGGCTATGTGCAGTGATGCTGGAGGTGTGGTTTGGGAGTGAAGGGTCGGGATCTTCAAGGTTTGTGTTCAGTTGATCTTTTGGCAGGCAGCCAGCGCTGTCCTGCTCAACATGAGGGAAGGGCAAAGCAGCTCAACATCCTTGTTCAGCTGAACCCAAAAGGTTTTTATGGAACAAATAAATGTCGCTTTTTTCCATCTCAGAAAAGTAGGATTCCTTTCCAGCTCCTTCTTGCTCCAGCTGCTGTTGTTTGCAGACAGCCTGTGAAATTCAAAGGCAGCAGTCAGTTCCAAGGTAGCAGGAATATTGTGTGTTGTGACTGTTCACTTGCAGAAGTGTAGAGCTCCTCCTACAAACAGTGTGTATGTTATGAGGACTGTCATGCTTGAGTGTAATATAATGTCTTTTCACTAAATGAAATACCCACAGGAGACTGGCTGACTGGAAGCACTGGCAAGGGGATATAGACCCTTTAATCTCTAGGAATGATAATGTATTTACAGTTGATGGCTGTATAATGACATAAGTAGTCACAGTCTTGGTCCCAAATAAGAGGTTTTAGTATCTCACATGTCCCCATTCAGGTGTTTCAGGAAGGCCACAGATTTAATAATGGATCTGATCCTTGGTGCTTCTCATCTACTTATTTGGGCCTTGCCAATCCCAGCTGTATTGTGCTGGTAGAAGGCTGTAAAGCAGCACTGTCTTGTGCTGCTTTCAAAGTGAATATGCTCCAGGGCCATTGTTGCTGTGTGAGAAATTCTTATCCTAAAATTCCAATCTTTGTGCAGTACAAATGTGATAGGGTGAGACTGTGCATACCCTTGGTGAGGGCAACTCAAGAGATAAAAGATAAGCTGCTGCAGCTTAGTTGTTTGGCCGTTTCCTGATGACAATACTTTAGCAGGGAGCTTTTAGTCTGGAATCTGTTTTGAAAAGCTTGTCTTCAGCAGTGAAAATTTTAAGCTTCAAGGTGAGCGTCACATGTAGACAGAACAGATCCCACCACTGATTTTAGAATCTTTACAGAAAGCAAATCTTTATATGTTCGCAGGCATTTTCACTATTTACTTGCTTTACTCACATAATAAGGAAATAGTTGAGAATATAATTTATGTGAAGCAAAGCTTACACTGTAGATCAGAGGTTGCCAATGTATTTTGTCAAATTTTGATAGGAAAAAAAATTGTAGTGTGAATTACTCAATTAAATGTGTCTTCTGCTGAGTTCTGTTTTTGTATTGACATACTGCTTCCTGCAATAAGCAAAGGCATTTAAAAAAGAAAAAATATCCAATGCCGTACTGGAAGAAAGAAAATTTAGTATTCTTTCTTAAAATGCTTCAGATGCTAAACTGTGAACAGCCAGAAATGTTACTCTCCTCTTAATTCTTTTAGAAAGATTATTTCTTTTAATTTTCTGGATGTCATAAATTGTACTTCCCCCCCCTCCCCCTTTTTTTTAAGTAAAGCTGCTCCCTTCTGTAGCTTGCATTGTGCTAAATTGACAATGAAGAATAGTATGGTTTATGAAGATAAATGTCAGGAATGTCTTCTAAAGTAGACATTCAGATTTTTTTGGATTAATGGGAAAGAAGGTCAATAATTGCATGGATTTCAATAAGCTTGAGAAGAAATGGCATTCCTGTGGTGCTAGTGATTATTAAAACATTGTGAATTCATTTTAAGATACTGTACTCGGGTTTAATGTGTCTTCCATTGTGAAGGAATGACTCAGTAAGGGCTGTCAGTTTGTACAGGTGATAGGAGATAATTCATACAGCAATTGTATTTTTGAGAGAAAAAAGTTATAGCAGACAGTACATAAATGTCTGTATGGTAGCCTTAATTTTAATTCTGCCTTATTAAATAGGGCCCTCCAGACTTCCAGCAGCATACACCTGGACCAGTTCCTACCAACTTCTCCCAGGCCCCGAGGCTGCCAATCCAGGACCAGTGGAGAGGGCCACCCCCACCACCTCCACCACTCCCTCCTCCACCTCCTCAGGACAGAGATCCTTTCTTCTTAGCAGGTGAGCATTTTCAATCCCATTAACAATTAGCACCCACCTATTGTAAAGTTACTGCACTGTGACTGCACATCCCATAACATGAAGTGTTCAGAACAACCTGAAGGCTGGAAGATCCCATTTGATGTACTCAGGCTGGTACATGCCAGAAATTCTGGTTGTCTAGTGTATTTTTACTTCTTTTGATGTGGATTTTTACTTTTTTTAATGTCTTCACCTGTAACTGCCATGAGTCCGGATATTTATATGGGCACAAAAATAATTAATATCGAAGTGATTGTTGCAATGAAGTTGTTGCACTTTGTTATAATTTGGATAACAAGTACTCTCCATACACTTGGGTTTCTTGTAACTCTTTAAGCTGCTTGGACTGTGTGTGTAGTGTGAGAAATTTGTTAAGGTTAGATAAAATGATACAGCCTAGCAAAAAAAAGAGGAAATGCATGTTTATACCACATATATGTAATGTATATATATATACAATATTTTGCAAATATCTTACACATGTACAATATGTAAAAATGTGCTAAATACCTGGTCAACAAATGGTGTCAATGCTTTGAGTTCTTCTGCGGTTTAAATTGTAATCACTGGAATCCTTCATTGATTTTATTAAAGTAGAATTTCCAAAAGGTATTGCTGATTCCAGCAGAGTACCAGTTGTGCCAGTCTTTCAAGGATCAATTCCTTTTATACACAAATGACAGGAACAAGAGAAACATAACCTTGAGGGTAGCTCTTTTAATTAAAACATCCCATACTTCCAGTTTTACATTCTGAAAATTTCAGGTTACTTTCTGAATCAGACTAGAGCTGTATGTTTCCGAAATGTGTTTGTGTCCCGGGAAGGTTGTAATTGAATCAACTCTCTCATTCCCGCAGATCCGAGGTTCCCGGGTCATCCCTTGTTTGAGCAGCGCAGCCCCCCACCGCCGCCGCCTCCCCCGCTTCTGAACAGCGCCCACCCCGTTCCTACGCAGAGCCCGATGCCGTTCAGCCCGCCCGGGCCCGCCTTTAACCAGCAGGGACAGCAGCCGGTGTATCCCCGGGAGCGGCCGGTGCGGCCCAGCATGCAGCCCCAGGGCCCGGTGGGGATCCTGCACTTCAACCAGCCGGGCTCCGCCACCCCGCGCCCCTTCATCCCCCCGCGGCAGCAGTTCCTGCAGGCGCCGGGACAGCCCTTCCTGTCCCCGCACACGCAGCCCAGCATGCAGGTACAGGGCTGGGGGAGTAACGGAGCCGAGGCATTGCCGGTCCGAGGGGGATGGCCCTGCAGTGCCGTCGCTGCTGTGCCTGGCGGGTGATGGATCTTCTCCCGCCGCCGTGCCCCGCTCTCGCTCGCTGCCGGCCCGGGGCAGCGCGGGGCCGCAGCGCCCTCTGCCGGCAGCGGCGGGGCCGTGGGGCCGGGGCAGCGCTCCGGGGATGTGCAGGGGGCCGCGAGAAACCTCGTTAGAAAACGGGGTGCGGGACAGGAACCCTTGAATTCGTCTTTTTCTTCTTACTTCAGCTGTTGGCTTACACAGGTTTAAGAGTAGAACGACCTCTTTGGTTGGTCTGTTCGTTCCTCTGTATGATTTGAGTTTAGTCTGGTTCGTAGCTGCTTACAGTTCTAAGGACTCAGGAGACTGGAGCTGCTTTTTTTGGAATTTACTACCTTGAAACTAAATTTTTTTCTTTCCATGTGAAGGGTCCCATGCATCCTCCATTACAGCCTCAGCCACAACCTCAGCCTCATCAGCAGCATCACCAGCAGCAACAGCAGCACCATCACCAGCAGCAGCAGCAGCATCACCATCTCCAAGGGCCTCCACAGCCCCTGATGCCCATGAACCAGCCACAGTTCAGGCCTCACATGCAAGCCACACAGCAGCAGCCAAATAACAACAGGATGCAGTGTCAGCCACGACAGGGTCCAATGAAGCCAAGGCATGTAAGTACCACATACAGCAGTGTCCTGCATGAGCAGCAGGCATGTAAGCACAGCTTTCAAAACTCACCAGTGTGGGTTTTCAGTTCTATTTATTCCCTTCCTGCCCTTTCCCCTCCTTTTACCATTTCTTGCTCATTTCCTGCCATGACAATTTTATAATCTACATTAAAAAATACCATGTGTATCTTTCTCTTCTCCTCTGGTCTTCAGTGTTCTTTTTGATTTGGGTCCAATAGGAGATGTTGCACCCCCCAATAACTAGCAGTGAAGGGGTGGTGAAGGAGAGGTTTGCTTTATAAGGATTTACAGCTGCTGGTAGTCTGTGTTTGTGTGGGAGCCCAGTTTTGTGACACTCTTTCGATTTGAAGGCCTCTCTGTATCACTGCTGATCAGTTTTCTGGTTCAGATAATGTCTCTCCTGTCTTGTGCCATTCCTACAATGCAGCATATTGTGCTGCTTGGTAGGTTGGGTAGGACAACAGCCTGGAGCAGTGCTCAAGACAATATAACTATAGTTTAGCATAATTGCTTTGATTAGGAAAGGAAATCACCCAGTGAATCCAGTTTCTGAGAATGGTGTTAAACAAGCAAGATTAAGTTTTGCTTTTAATTAGAAAGAAAGGTTATTAAAATATTCTCATTTCTGTATTTTTTTCCTGACATTAAAAATCGCATGCCTCTTCACAAAGCTTATTTTCCCAAACTGAACTAAATCAGAAAAATACGAAACCGAGATCACTTCAGCCTGCTTTGTGGTGGAAGTCAGCAGTTCTTTTCCGTTGTTCTTTTCAGAGTACCCCATCACAGAATATTGTCAAGCGTTCCAACCAGCAGCTGCAGCCGGCCGCTGCCAGGAACAGCAACTTGCGCGAGCTGCCCATAGCCCCGTCCCACGCCATGGAGATGAGCAGCAGCCGGCGCAGCTCCGCCCCGGCCGCCCAGGTCAAAGCCATCACCAGCACCCTGCCTGCCTCCAAGGCTGCCACTGCTGCTGCCAACTCCCAGGGAAGGCCCGAGATGAAAGCTAAAGCAATCACGCCAGTGGGCCAGGCAAAGTCAGAAGGAAAATGTGAACCAGAGGTAAGGGATTTTCTTTGTTTAAACAAAAGATCAAAAACCAAACAATGAGAAACAAGGCTCCCACCAGAAAGCTCCCACCTTTAAAAGACTTTTCTGGTCTGATTTATGAATTGAAAGCACACTTAGTGTATTATCCACCAAATATTTTTAGGTGCCACTAGAGGCCTCCCTTCTGTATTGCACTTTTCTTTATTGCAAGAGCAGAAATATTTTTAGGTGCCACTAGAGGCCTCCCTTCTGTATTGCACTTTTCTTTATTGCAAGAGCAGGAATAGTCTCCATTGACATAAAAGGTCTGGAAGGTTGACAAGGCTGTAGTGAATTTGTTTTGCTTGCACTTTTCTTTATTGCAAGAGCAGAAATAGTCTCCGTTGACATAAAAGGTCTGGAAGGTTAACAAGGCTGTGGTGAATTTGTTTTGCAGGAGGAGTCATCATTTCTACTAGGAAAAGGCAGAATTTGAGTGAAGGTGGTCAGTGATACGAGTCTCTGAAATACTCATTCTGCCCATTTTTATCTTTGGGAATTATAATTTATTTTCAGGTGATCATATTCTTGTGAGTCTGAAAGCCTCTATCTTTTGTATGGTCCTGTATGGCTCAAAGGAGAAGAAAGAAGGCTATTTGGAGAGCTGTCTTCCTCATGCTGTTTTCCTTTAGGCTGCTCAGTCTCTACTAGGCCTTGAGCATTCATGTAGGAGATCATAGCTATGCTGTCTGTGGAGCTTCTTGCTCTTGAAAAAGAAAATCTCTTTTTTATGAAACCTTTTCATGTGAGGGAAAAGAGGAGATGCTTTTAAGTTTTCCATTTTGGAGAAAGTGGCGCTGTTTGCTCTGCTGGTATTCTGCACAATTGAAAAAATCAGATGGCAGTGTTTTCAGCTCCACTGGATCGTATCATGTGAACAGATTACCATTTTCCTGCACAGATCTCCTGGAAGCTAGAGAAGGCTCTCCATGAGCCCTGTTACTTTGAGAGAGTGGGTAGGATTGGACTAATGGTGCTCTTTATATCCTGAGCATGATGGCTAAATGCACCCTGTGTGCTTTGTCAGGCTATTCTGTGAAGAACTGTAAATCTTCATGGTTATAGCTAGCCATGAATCTTGTCTCAAGGACCAGGTTTTCTTCAACAACCTTTGAAAGCTTTAATTGTGATAATGCTGACTTCCTTTTAAGCTGCTCATGATTAGCTTTTCATCTTGTTCTTGAATTAGGGATGGTCATAACTAATTTCCATAAATGAGGCACAAAAGAATCCTAAAGCTATCAGTTTTTGACCTCCTGTGCACTTGCTTTTCAATGGAAGTGGGAAAAAAATCCTTTTTTAGCTTTTAATTTTCACCTTTTTTTGAAAAAATATTTGAGTAATCTCTTTCCCCTCAATTCAGTCTCTTGGAATAATCTCAGTCACAGAAAATGCAAAATGCAGTGCCTCATAGAGAAGCCTTGTCTTTCAGGCCATTAGTAAGGTAAGTCTTGAAAAATCAGCCACAGGCCTCCCCATCTAAAACATCTTGAAGTTATTCTGTAGCTTAGTCATACGAAAATTAGTTCCAAAGTATCTCTGGCAGTATTTAGAAAAATATAAGAATTTTAAAAATTTCATTTAATTAAATAGAAAGTTAAACAAACAACCCCAAAGCAGTCATCTTGTTGTCTCCACTTTACATTTGAAATATACTCTAGCCTGTGGTTATTAAACTAACTAATCTTACCTGTGTGAATTCTTGGTGTATTACAAGTAAAACTTTGTTTTTATTTCTGTGTCAGAACTGTCATTGAAAAAATTCAGATACCTGTTTTATGCAAGTTTTTGCAAAGCAGGATAAAAAACCAGGGTCTTGGAACCAGTGAAGTCTCCTAGTAAAGCCCTTGTAGTTATATTTGGCAGGCATGAGGAGAGTGTGGCTGTGCACACAGAACCTTGTACTTCCAAAGCACACCTGGAACAGAGCCTGGTGCTCCAAACAGTGTAGTAGCTGTTGTCCCATTTCTGCTGTGCCACTGCAGTTCACTGCTGCTGCTTATTGTCACTCTTACAGATGGGAATGCTGCACTAAAAATGTTCATTTACAAGCATTTAATTATTTTCTTCACTGTTTTTGTAATGTAGGTTATTACATATCTCTCCTTAGGCAGATTGTAATGTTTTGCAGTCTTTTTTTGTGTCCTTTTCTTGTAATTAGCTGACTTCATCTTGTTCTTTTACTTTTGATGGTGATGAGAAAGAGTTAAGTTCTGTCACCTTTTCTGGCTGTGTGGCACATAACTGAATTGGGCAGGTTATTTTGCAAGTGTCTTCAACTGGAAAATTAAGACTTTTCTTTGCATCTTTCTTCCTAAAGAGTCAGTGGCTGTATTTATGAGTGGCCTATCATTCAGGAGCACCAAAAAAAAATAGCAATATTGGCTTGGCTGTTAGAGGTTTTGCTCACCCTAAATATAGATATTTGAAAGGTTTGCAATGTGAGTGAATAGAAGATTAAAAGCTGTGTATTAATGGAATGCTTGTGTTCCTGTTCCTGTGAGGCTGCAAAATACTGACCTTAAATGCCTGTTCAGAGCAGCTTTTACTCCCCAGGATTTAAATTGTATATCCTTAGTCTGAAACATCATTTTGTCATTGAAACAGGAAAGTCTGCATGATGTGGGCCTAATTCTGCTCCTGTTGAAGTCAGCTTAGGATTAGAGGAATTAAGGCAGAATTAAGCATTTTTGAGTTTCAAGAAGAGGGAGAATGGAGAAAGGTGATGTGTCTGTAGGAGAAATGGATATTGGAGCTCAGAACAGGAGGGAAATTAGTAGAGCACTGGGTAGTCATCAGTGTATTGGTGTTAGTACTTACACTGGGGATCGTGTCCCTGATGTACGGAAAGAAAACCTTTGTATTCCATTCTTCCAAATCCACTAAATTGTGAATTTTGTTGGATTTTATATTGCTGTCTTTTCTAACAAGGTTTGAAATATGGAAAAGAGTTGCTGCACTAAATTACTAGATGAAATGTATCTGAATATTTTCACAGTTTTGGTTATGAACTACTGAAAAATTGTAGAATTTTCTCCAGTTTAAATAACTGCTCTCCCAGATTTTTGTAATGGTGCCTCCTGTCTTGTGCTTGTAAGAGTCTTATCACAGTTTTTGTGTCCAGTTGGAAATTAGCAAAAGGGCAGTTTGCTTCTTGGAGTAACTTGTAACCTTGTTCTTCACACTCTCCCTGTTGTCTAAGATGTACAGCACCTCTGCTTTGCAGAGTGTCTCATACCTTCCTCGGGTTCAGGAGCTGATGTTATCAGCAATGTGAAATTCACAGTATGTATATGTAGGTACCCTTTAATTCAGATACTTTGTGGGTTTGAACACAAGCAGCCGAGTGATGCAATTTGGATCTGGCTGTGCCTTTTGCATACAATTGGCATGAATTTTTAGACAAATTATTTTAGCTTCTTATGTTTTTAATGTTACAGCTTAAAATAAAGACAACCTGCTGAATAAGTTTGTGTTTATGCCACAGATCAAACCATTTTGATTGCTCTATTCTTGCACCCATTTTACTGAGACACATAAATGATCCTGGTTGCAAGATTCCTTTTTTGTTCCTTGGGAACCAACCAGAACATCAACAGTGTCTGGTTCTTATGACTCAGCATTTAGTTCTATTAATTGGCAATTAATCCCACAGACTTCTGTAAAGTCTGAAAACTTTTAAGAAGGGATTGACTTCCTAGGATCATTACTAATTTCCTGAGTCTAGTTCCAGAAAGGAAGGTTTCAGATTATATTTGAGATCAAGTTGCCTGAATATTCTACTAAGCATTTTTTGAACTTGCATGTGTGTTGGTAATAGAGTTTATGTCTAGTTTGTGTCAGTCATCTTTCTGTGTTTAATTCTGGCATAGTTGGAATCAGTGTATCTGTCCAAGGGCTGTTGCAGGGATGTATTAGTCAGAGTCCCTTGGGATGTTCATTCCTTGTGTGCTGGCAGGACTCATTTGAGTGTGCTGCAAAGCCCACATCTCTGTGCGATGTGCAGCCTTTGAGTTGATGTTCTGAGCCTGCCACATAGTGATCTGTCTCCCCCAAGGTCTTCAGAACTTGTTAGGTGATAAAATGAGCAGGCAAATCCCTCATAATAAAGGGCCCTGGTAGAAGTGGTGGTCTCCTGAAAACTCATTCTGCAATGTTCCAATTGAACATAGGGGAAACAAAAATTACAGGACTGCCTCCAAAAGTAAACTTGGTATTTGCTCAGGCATCCATCCATCAGGCTTCTTTAGATAAATTGTAGAATATTACAATCTAAACCAAAGCAGGTGAATAAACTAATTCATTAAGTTAAGTGAAACAAGTCTTCCCTCTGAACAATTGTGGTAATTGTGATACTTAGTGTCTCTAAAAATGACTGAAAATTTTATTAATTGCATCAGGATCTGCATAATAGCACATCCTCCTCCTAGCTGGAGCTTATGTGATTTCTCATCCTTTGCAAACTATTCTTAAGGGTCTTAATTTTTCCCTGTATTTCATAAGGGTAATATTCTATTTTTTTGCTACAATCCAGCATCTCCACTAGTCAATTCAAGATGAAATATCTAGGTTTCCTCCTGTAGAAGTATGTTTCTGTACCATCTATCAACACAGATCTCTAATTTAGTTGTCACTGTGATTATTAATCACCACCATCACGTTCCACGAAGTATAGATAAAGATAAGAATTTTGGGGTGGATGTAGCATTCTCATGCAAAGAACTGTGTTAGATCTCATCCCTGAACTACAGCCTATACTTAAAAAATAAATACAAATTTTAAAAATGCAGTTTGGGTAGTCTTATTTAGCCCCTGTTTTGGCTTCTAATTAGACTGCTAATTAGATGCTTGTAATTGGACTTCTAATTTGAGACAATGAGCAGGTTTTTAGTAACTGGGAATAATCCCTGTCAATACCTGCTCAGGGAAGAAGCAGCTACAGCTGAAGGAAACGAACATTCTGGAGTTGTGCATCTGGGTGCTGTGAGTGCAAATCTGACTCTGCTGGGCTTTCATATCCATGAACCAATATTATGGCTGAATCTGTTCTGCTGGGATTTTTATTGGGTGGGGAAGGATGCTAGGGTGCACTGGGATTAAAAGCTCTTAAAAAACCCCAAACCTTCAAATCACACATTTGGGTCAGATGTTCAAAAAATAGCACGTTTTGAAAACAGTTTGCACCCAGTTGCTGTAAGAAGCATAAAGATTTGTCACAGATTCCCAGTTTTTGAGAAATATTTTAGCACTCTTTATGCATTGATTTACCAGCATGCAAAGTATCATTACTTGGAGAGGCTGTTGTTAGGAGTGATTGATACATCTTGAGTACAATGTTGTGCTCATTACCATTTGTAAGCATTCTCTGTAAGTCTAACTTAATATTTCAAATGGTTAAAAAGAGAGAAATAATACAGTAAAAAAGTATGCTTCCTAATTTTGAAAAATATATGTGATTTTACTGCAAGACCATTTGATTCTTTTCCAGGATGATGAGAATTTGCATTTCCTTGACTCCTGTCCATTTTTTACAGCTTTTCATAAGAACCCATTCTGCCAGAGTTGAACAATCTTTAGGAAGGTTATTTGATGGTGTGTAGTACTTTCAGAGAGGCCCAGGGCTGGAATATTAAAGGCATTCTCTATATACCATTAATATTCCAACACTGCATTTGGCAACATTTTGATTCTGAAGAGAGTGCATGAGTTCAAGGTCAGAGAGATTGACTTGTGCTGTTCATTATAACCAATTATTGTGTGACAAATGAGTTTGAGATCAGGCTTAAAATTCTGTGAGAAAAATCAATAGTTCTAATCAGGGCCTTTCAGGTCATTTACCACCCTACCTTTTGTTACTTTGTCAGAAAAGAGCAAGATAAAACCTGTGTGACAGTGGGTTGCCTCTGTATTGTTACCTTCTATTTGAAACATATTTTGATATCTTGAATTATATTAATAGTTTAATTGGTTTTGGAAACTTTTAAATTAATTCCAATTTGTCAAACTTTTTTTATTATTTTTTTTTTTTTTAGTATTCTAATCAGATTTCTCAAGTGGTATTAAAGCTTTTCTGTCTAGGAAGTAGTATATCTAAGTCCTAAACCAGATCTGAGCTGTTTGTCTGTAATGAATAGCAAATAAATCTTAGCAGCAGATACACTCCACTAATAGCCTTGCTTTGCTATCAGGAAAAATTTAAAAAGCTCTACATCTGAAACAATTTCATGTTGTTTTGACCAAGCTGGGCATCTGTTTAGAATGTTATAAATTCATTTGGTTTTTCCTTTGTTAGTACCCAGAGGAAGATGAAGAAACTCGGTTGTACCGTTTGAAGATAGAAGAGCAGAAGCGCCTGAGAGAGGAGATCCTGAAGCAGAAGGAGCTGAGACGGCAGCAGCAGGCTGGGGCCAGGAAGAGAGAGCTGCTGGAGAGACTTGCCCAGCAGCAGCAGCAGCAGCCTTGCTCCCAGCAGTCCTACGTGCAGCACGAGGAGGATTCCTCCGAGTTCCCCACCAACGGCAGCCCCTACATCCCCCACTCCGGCTTGCAGACCAGGCACAACGTGAAAAGCAGACTCCTTGTTAGAAAGCAAGACGCGGTAGTTGCAAACGTCCACCCCAAACCCACAGATTTCCCCCAGGGCGCAGGGGACGGGCAGTACCAAGGACAGCAGATGAAGCAGCCAGTGAAGCAGCTGAGGCAAACTAGAACAATTCCTGCGAGCCAGCCTCAGGCAGCCCAGAAAGTGTTACAGAGCAAAGCTGCCACAGCGGCGCTGCCCACGGCGCAGGCGGCGCGAGTGGCCTCGGTGCCCGCCAGGCCCCAGGAGCAGAAGCCCGGGGTGAAAAGGACTGTGATGCAGCGGACAAACAGTGCTAGTGATGGGCCCCATGGCGGCAGCAAAGTCAGGGTGATTAAGTTGTCAGGAGGGGTAAGTGTACAAGGCTCATCTCATCTCTGTGTCTCCTCGTGGTTTGTTTCTGTGTGTTTGATTCTGTGTAATCCCGAAATAAAACATGGGCCTGAGCTGGTGAGGGAAGTAACAGGTTTAGCATACCTAATAGTCTATAGAATATATTTTCAGAACTGTAATTTATTAGCAGTTATTAAACAATTAGTGTTTCCTGTAATGCTTTGCTGCCAGGCAGTTACCAATGAAATCATATTGAAATACTCCTTTCTTTTAAGTTGTAACTTGGAGTCTGAAATATGAAAGACTGCTCAGATGAGGTCCTTTTGGTTAAGGTTGATAAGTCTGATAATTGCTCAGAGAAGAGAATTTAGGTGACTGTATTTAATTAAGGTTTGGTTAAAAAGGACCTGCTTATTTGTTAAGTGAGGCCTCGTAATTAGTTGCGTGCAGTTGTTGGTCTGAGTACGGTTCCTACTCAGTGGAAGATGGTTTTTATTTTGTTAGGAAGCATGTTATGAAACTAATTAAAGCAGTGTGTTGCAGGGGGATGTTTTCTGTTACAGGTTGGGTTTAAAACGTTACCATTTCACTTCTGCATCTAAATGAGATTTCCTTATCTCTTGATGAGGAGTCTTTTATCTGCAGTGTGTCCCTTGAGCACTGGTGTGGAGGACTCGCAGTGATGGTCTTGAGAACAGTGTGCCTATTTAAAATCTGGCGTTTTGGTGAGAAAGTCTCTCGACCAAATTTCTTCTGTCTTAATGAAAAGACAAGTTAATTTGTTAGGGTTCTAAAGAGAAAAAGATGAGGGGACATAGGGATCATTTTGTCTGTGTTTGAAGTCTGTCCTTGGGTTTATGCTGAGGAGGAAAGAATGATGTGATGTAGCAGCACATTGGAGGTGTTTTTCTGGAAGAACGCTTTTAAATTATTTGGAGAATTTCATAGGGGAAACAAAACTCTGTGTAACAGGGACTGAACAAGGCCTTGGAGGCGAGGTTTTACTCTGTAGAAATGGGGAGGAAGTTGAAATGACAAAGTCTTTACTTTTTATGAATGTTTTTCTACAGTTCATAAAACTTAATTGCACTCAGAGTTGTGAATTGCATAATGACTGTATGGTCTTTCCAAATATTAACATACAGGTCATTATTTACTGTAGAGACATCCTGCACATCAGGTTGTTGTCAGTTTTAATTCCTCAGACATAGTAACTTAAGTACAGAATAATAAAGTACAGGAAACTGAAAGAAATTAATTCTGTTGAGCTAAAAATATTTATATATAAGTATGTCTGCAGGAATCCCAGTGGCCTGCAAGAGGTATGACAGGTTTGTGATTCATGCATAATTGAATAAAGCAGTCATGCACAACTTCTTTTATTATGTGATGAAACAAAACATTGCCAGTCACAACTGTATACAGCTCCTCGTAACAAATAGTTATCAGTGCCCCCAGCAGCATTCACAATGAAATTGTTTTTATCACGTGCTCTATTTCAGAAGACCATTAATGATTTGTTTCAGATAAGTGTCATGGTAAGCAAGAACAATTAGCTTAATTAAATGCATGTGTAACTCCTCTTTAATTGTGTACAGAAGCAGATTTACTCTGTCCTGGTTACTGAAGTTTTAGCAAGGTGAAGCAGGTTCTTCACATGTAGCTTTGTCACTGTTTTCATGTTGCCATGGACTTCTTAAGTTTCCTTCCAGCTGTGGGAGAGTGAAAGCAAGCATTGCAGTTAGCTGTTAACACTGATCAAGATAGTTGATTAATTTTTAATCAGTTATTGACAAGCTGAATCTGTGACTTTATTTCTTTGACCACACAAGGAAAAAAATATGAATTGAGCAGCAGTGCAGACAATCATTTAGTCAGTTTTTGACAGGATTTAAAAGAAAAGTTAGAAGGTGCTTGGGCTACAAATACTACCACGATTGGAGATCATACTTAGTTTCCACTGCTTTAGTCCTGCCACATGCTTAATATATTTTCACGACTTTTGCCTGAGCACTAAATATAAAGCAAAAGCCAAATCTCATTTTTCCTAGCCATTCATTCTCCTTAGCATGTAATAGTGCTTCCTCTTACTCCCTGCCTTTGGCCAGAGGGTTGCTGGTATCTCTTATGTGTCTGCACTGGCTCTATCCTGCAGCTGGGCATCCCTGGCCTTGCTCTCTATGCAATTCCTTGTGCTCGTCTCCTTTCCTGGGCTCTTTTGTGCAGAGATCTTTTGAATGCATTTGTACAAGTGAGATGGCTTGTGATCAGACAGAATGCCAGGTCCCCTTTGGAAGCTTCCTGGGTTCAAGTGAAGACCTGGCAAGTCTCTCCTGTTGCAGAGCACCACTGGGGTACAGCCCAGAGCTGTACTCACTCTCTCTAGACCAAGCTGGCCTAAACCAGAACCTGGTAGCAAGGACTGTTATCAATTCAGGAGGGCCATTTGTAGAAACAATATTCAGTGGTTTGGTGTTGCTGCTGATGTTGTTTTTGTAACATATAAGCAGTGTGGTGTGGTGCTGAGAACTGTGGAGTACAGACATTGTCAGAAGAGAATGGCTTCTTTTCCTGAGGGCAGTGTCTTTACCAAGCTGAGCTTTTGTCTGTTTGTGTTGCTGGGCACAGCAGTGCTACTGAAGATCTCTGACCTGCAGGTAGAAATATCCCTTGGGTCCTTAAAAAACAAAATGGTTTTTCATCTGTTTCCACAGTATTCTTTTGTGAGAAGGTTTTACTTTTGGAATTTTAAGAATTACCATGTAAATTCCAACAATATTTTAACTTGTTCAGTTTTCCTGATACATAAGATGCCTTAATTTATGACTTACTGTTCTTCAGGAAAATGAAAGTAGAAAATGATTCAGCATTTCCGGTATGTCAGACTAAGTCTGTGTATCAAGGTGACACATTAGGTACTGTCAGTAATGATTTTGTCTGTTGATGCTTTTTTATTTTTTAAATAAATCCCACCCTTCACCTCCACCCCCCCCAATACTTTGCCCATCCCTTTCTAATATACATGTAATTTATGCAAGAATGGCAGTAAAGTGAATAGTTTTCCATTTTAATTACTCCTTTAAATGTTGTGTTCCTGGAAAATTAGGCAGTGTTTAGCACATGGACTTGGAATTTTTTTGTTGCTGGTTTAGTTTTGGATTGGGTTTTTTTTTGGTGGGGGGAAGGGGGGGTGGGTTTAGCGATTTTGGGTTTTTTGTTGTTGCTTTGTTTTTGGTTTTGTTCTTGGTTTTAATTTTTCCAAGGAGGCCTAGATATTTTTCAGTGAATCAGTGTGCATTGTTTTTGTGGCATTTCCTCAGAGCTGTCCTTTTCAGATACAAGAGTTCAGTGTATTCATTGACTATTCATACCTGTAAATTTATCTAATAAAGCATCTGAGACTTGCCGGGCTTGCTGAGGACCCTGAAGTTAATCCTAAAGTTACTTGTAAGTATAAACTCAATGAGAGTGTAGGAAAGAAACACCCTAATAAATTACTTGAAAATGTGATCATAAAATTTTAGAAAATAAGTGTGAAAAGACTGTTGAGCTAATTTGTCTTGAAAGGGGACATGAACTCTGTAGTATTCCTGACAGATATGTCTAGCCTTTTTCTGAGATCTCATTGCTGCAGATTTCCCAGGTAGTCTATTCCAGTATCAGATATGTATATTTAGGATATTTTCTCAGTGACCAAATCACATTTTCTTGCTATAATTTTGAATTTCTGACTACTTGTATTATACTTGAAGAGAGATGGGGAAGAATTTCTCTCTCCTTTTAAAGATAACTGTTTCTGAGCTCTAATATCTTTCATTCTCTCTTGATGAGACATGTTTTCTAACACCTTGGCTGTTTGTGGTGCTCTTTGGGCTCTCTGTCATCAGTCTGTCTGTTAAGAGTTCTAGTACCAAATGTAATTGAATTGCTTAAGTCAATATATTCAGAGTTGTTTTAGTCCTGGAAGAACAGGTTTGTGCCAGCTATAACCTTAGATATCTAAAGATCGTATGAAATACATGCTGAATATGTTTTCTATTTAGTTGGAGGTTCTGTGGTAAATTACAATATCTTAAAATCTCTGTATTATTGTCATCTTATGTTGTTGGATGATTTCTCTCTTAGCCAGAAAATGTCCTGCCATGCTCAGAGAGCTGTGTGTCTGTCCCAAAGGCGTGAAAATGCTGGTTCTTATGCTGCACCAAGAACACACCAATCTTTGTCTCTGTGGAAGGCTGCACAATGAGGGGTTTTTTCATAAATACATATATGGATAAAAATACATAAAAATCTTGATGTTCCCTGTTGCATTACAAGCAGTATTTTATAAGTGATTCTAATTCCTGAAAACTTGAAATACTTCATATGAAAAGCTTGAAAGAAGAGCTGGCAAGTTCTTCTGTTTGAAAAACCTGTCACAAAAAAATGTCCTTGGATTGCAAAAACAAGATGGAAACGGAAGATAGACAACTTCGATCATATTCCAAGCAACTGGGAAGTGTGATATGGAGTTCTAAATATGGAAAAAATACTGATTGAGATGATTGTTGTTTGATAATGTAACCTTATCAACCAACTTTGCTTAATGTTTGTACTTGTTTCTACTTGCTTGTATGTGTTCAAGTTTAATTAAAAATATTTGACTTGAAAGCTCTTTAGCGCCTTTCATCTAAGTATGTCAGGAATTGCAAGCACTAAGAATTGTGGCATTTGTGTGGGAAGTTCATGAAGCCCTTTCCCCAGCCCTTGACAGAGGAACTCTTGCCCTAGACTGTCCTATAACTTTTTGAGAAACAGGAGAATGACTTTGGTGTTCATTTGTACCCCAGAGGCTGAAGGAGGCATGGGTAGTGCCCACCTAGGAGTGGGCTGGGGGAGCTGCAGGAGCCATGTGTGAGTGCCCAGGTACCGTGGCAAAATGAGCAAGACCTCTGAGGCAGCATTAATGTCAGTGCTGTTGAAGAAGGACTGACTGCCATAACCTGCAAGATTTCACTCTGGAAGTGTTTCACAAGTGG